CGGTGGAGGTACGGGGAAGGGATGGGGGAGGGGGAAGAGGCAAGGGTGAGAGAGCGGGGCAGGCGGCCTCCTGGCCGCTGGGGCTGCTGGGGCGCACCTGATTGCCCCCAAAAAGCAGGGCGCGCCGCGCGCAAGGACCGAGGAAGATAAGCGGCTGTTGTTCTGCAGCGACGGGCGCGGTTCCCTCGGACGTGCTACCGAATAGTGATAGGCTTGCCGCGGGAGAGGGTTGCTGGTTGGCAAGACGGTGCCGGCAGCCCCGCCGCGACGCCCCAAAAACCGCCACCTCGCGTCCGCCCGCCCCCGCGCCGCCCGCGCGCCGCGAACCCCCTGCATTTGCAGGCGCGAGGTGCCCGACGCCGTCCGCGTCTGCCAGCGGGCCGGCATCGTGGTGCGCATGGTGACGGGCGACAACATCCACACGGCGCGCCACATCGCGCGCGAGTGCGGCATCCTGACGGATCACGGCGTGGCGCTGGAGGGGCCGTCCTTCAGGTCAATGCCGGCGCACGAGCTCATGCCGCTGCTGCCGCGGCTGCAGGTGGGGCTGCGGGCCAGGGAAGGGGGGCCCGAGGGGAGGGGGGAGGTTGGACAGCAGGCTGGCTGGGGCCGAGGGCGGAGGTTTCGGCGGCTGGTGCTGCCACGCCAGTGGGTGGCCGGGGCCTAGGAGAAGAACAAGGGCGCGTGCTTGGGGCGAGGGGGCGCGATGCGCGCCGCCGTGCCTGTAACGTCGCGCCGCGCGGTGCATGCCAGGCGGCTTGTTGCGGAGTGGGCCGCACCGAGCGCGTGCCTCCTCGGTCAAATCAAACTAAATCACGGGCGCTGATCTCGCACGCGCTCCATCCATGGTGCGGCCCTCCCAGCCTCCACCAGCCGCACCCACCTGGCCCCAGCCCTCCCATTTCGGGTGTGAAATTCCGGGTCTTGGCCGCCCATTCTGAGCATCACAGTGACGGCGATCCCCCCCCCCAAAAAAAAGGTCCTGGCGCGCTCCTCCCCCGAGGATAAGCTGACGCTGGTGTCGCTGCTCAAGAAGGAGGGCGAGGTCGTGGCCGTGACGGGGGACGGCACAAACGACGCGCCTGCGCTCAAGGAGAGCGACGTCGGCCTCGCCATGGGCATCGCCGGAACAGAGGTGGGTGCGCCGGGCCCGGTCAACGGCCCTGCCGGGCGGGTCGGGGCGGGACCGCGCTTGAGCGGAGCGGGGGACGGCGGGACGGCGGCGACGAGGTCGCGCTCGCGGGGCATGTTGTGTGGTGCAGTGGGATTCACGAATGCGCCCGCCACATACTCGACGCGTACCTGACACGCACTAGACCCTGCGCTGGCAGCCAAACCAAGCGTCCCATGCCGGCAGCCGCCCGTCCCACCCCCGTGCCTGCCCAACCCCAACCGAATGGCCCCAGGTTGCAAAGGAGGCGGCAGACATTGTGATTATGGACGACAACTTCAGCTCGATTGTCAAGTGAGATGGGGTCGGGGTGGGCGGGTAGGGCGCGCACCCCTGGGGGCGGCACGCGTGGGCCCTTGTCATGCAGCGGAGCGGGGGGGGGGGCAATTGTGTCTGGCGCCGCCGGCGTCGACCAGAAGCGCTCTCTTGTTAACTGTGTACCCGCTTGGCGATGTTTGGGGTGGTGCAACCTAAGGGCGTGGGGCTGGCAGAGGTTTGGCTGCTGTTGTGATGACGACCAGTGCTGTGTGGATGGACACACACACACATACACACGCGCGCACACACACACACACACACACACACACATCACACATCACACACACACACTTTTGGCTGCCCCTCCCCCTCAAGGTCTGTGCTGTGGGGCCGCTCCGTATTCAACTCCATCCGCAAGTTCCTGCAGTTCCAGCTCACCGTGAACTTCGTGGCCCTCGTCATCGCGTTTGTGGGCGCGGTGGTCGGCGGCCGCATCCCCCTGAACGTGCTGCAGCTGCTGTGGGTCAACCTCATTATGGACACCATGGGCGCGCTGGCGCTGGCGACCGAGGACCCCAACCCAGAGCTTCTGAACGACAAGGTGGGGCCCTGTGGGCTGGCCTCGGGGCACCTGACCAATGTGTTTCAGTGCACACTTGTGCATGAGTACACACGTGTATGTGCATGCGTGCAATGTTGTTGTGGACGCCGTTGCCTGTCCTTGACGGCTTTGTTTGACTCTCCTTCGCCGCCGTTCTCCCTCGTGTGGTGTAGCCCCTTGCCCCCACCCCCTTTGCGCAACCCCGTCCAGCCCTGGCCCCTCCCCTCCCCTCCACCCTTGCTCAACCCTGCTTTGCCCTGGCCTCCCCTCCACCTACCCCCCTATCGCCCACCAAAGCCCCACGGCCGCGACGAGCCCCTCATCACAACCAAGATGTGGAAGCACGTCCTCGTCCAGGGCTGCTACCAGCTGTTCTGGCTCTTCTTCTTTATGTATGCCCTGCCCTCCCTCAACTGGAGCCGCTACTGGACCACCTCCGAGTGCCAGCTGCTCTCCAGCGGCCCCCTGTCCGCGCCGCGCGCCGACTACTGCGCCTACAGGATGGCCCTGCCGCAGGCCGATGGCGGGCTGGGCATGAATTCGACCGCCGCGGGTGCGTACTGCTCAATGCTGAACACATGCGGCTGGCCGTGCGGCAGCGCGGACCACGTCGGCGACCAAGCGGCCTGCGCGGCGGGCGTGCTGGCGGCGACGGGGCGCGTCTACGCCCCCGGCGTCGTGCCGGGCGCGGAGAAGGACGCGCTGTGTCCTGATGGCAGTGCGTGTGACGCGTACACGGCATATCGGGTGGTGGAGCAGTACTGGGAGGCGCGGCTGGAGAAGCAGCATGAGGAGGACTTCAGGAGGGGGGACAGCCTGCTGTTCAACAGCTTCATATTCCTGCAGGTGGGTACTGGGGGGGGGGGCTGGATAGAGCGCGGGCCGCGATGGAAAGGGGCAGCATACTAGCAGAGTGTGTGTGTGCTTTCGGTCGGGTGTCTGCCTGCTTGCGAAGGTTCAATGCAAGCATGATCTATGATTTGCCGGCCGAGGCGACGAGGCGTGTGGTGGAGGTGTAGCGGGAGGCCCCTGCCTGCTGAGCGCCCTCCGGGCTCACATCCGCTGCGGCACCGTCACACGCACACACACACACACACACACACACACACACACACACACACACACACGCGTGCACGCGCGCACGCACGCACACATGCATGCGGGCACACACACACACACACACGCGCGCGCGCGCGTGCGCGCACACATACAACCACCACCACCCACCACCACCGCCAGGTCTTCAACGAGATCAACGCGCGCCGCATCAGCGACGAGCTCAACATGTTTGGCGGCATCCACCGCTCTCCCATCTTCCTGGCCGTCATCGCCATCACGGTCGGCCTGCAGGCCATCATCATGCAGACCCGCATGGGCATGTTCTTCAAGGTCGTGCCCCTCGACGCGGCGGAGTGGGGTGTCAGCATTGCCATCGGCGCGTCTGCAGTGCCCATCAGCTGGCTGACGCGCGTGCTGGGCGGCCTGATGCCGACCGTGCGGCGGCGCCGCCACGGGCAGCGGACGCTGTCGCGTGGCCACGGGGGTTCGCGCGTGCACAACGAGGCGGCGGCGGCGGCGCTGGCGCGGCGCACGAGCATGCCGAGGGAGGCGGCGCAGGTCAGGCCGTCGCCGCGGGCGGTGGCGGCGGTCAGCAGCACGGGCTGGGGCGAGTAGCGCCCGGACGGGCGCGGCGCACGGCGGCGGGGCCCTCGCTCGGCCGCCGGGCAGATTCAGGGCTTTCGAAACGAAATGGACCCCCAACGCAATAGAGGCTAGAACGCATGATTCAGGTTCGCTCCAGGCTGGGGCGGCGGGTCGCCCACGGCGGAGGCAGGCGCGGGGAGTGGTTTTGGGAAAACCTGATACTTGACCTGTGGAACTTGCGCAGGAGCGGTGCTTGATTGGCCGCCCCCTGACGAAATGTCTCCCATGTGGACCTTGCACCACATGCTGCCCGGCGCACAATCCAGACTGAGAAGCACGGCACGTCCACTCTCTGTTGCACGTTGCTTTGCCCATTTCTTTTCGCCGCATCATGTCGGATGCCTGCCTGTTCGGCCGGGTCTGGCGAAAGCTGGGGACCTCCTGCACGTGCATCTGCGTGCTGCTGCTCTGATTGCCCGTCATTGCCTGGTCACCACCAGGGTGTAGATGTGTATGGTGCCGGCAACTTGTGCAAACATCACGTAGTAATGCGATTGCACCAGCAGATTGTTCACCTGATTTTAAACACGACATGTGTCACAAAGCCCAAATCCGAAGCCCAAGGGCCCTGCAGAGCCGAGTGAAGTAGCCGACCCTTCGTGAAGTGTGAAGCTGTGTTGATCGAAGTTTGACCAGCACATTGACCTGTGGTCTGAGGAACGCGCCTGTGTAGATGCGCCGACACAAATTCCGCAGTACGCATTTACTTCTGAGTATTTTGCAAGCTGCCACCCGTCCTTGAAAGCTGCGCGTGCAGCGCCCACTCATACGGCACTTCGTCCCTGTCAGCCTCAAGGCCGTGACGTATGATTCAAACATTCAAAACTGGAGAGGGCAATATATAGAATATACCTCGGGGCGTTGTGGGCTTGGGACGACCTCTCCTCGCTTGCACCGCTGCAGATAATGGGGAAAACAGCCCATTTGCAGTCGCTGATCCTTGACGGCGTCAAGGTACAATATCAGAGCTGAATTTTGTAGCTCGAAAACGTTTCCGCGCAACCAGTGTGCGCAGCCTGGTGCACAGCGCGCGGGGCAAACAATGTCGCTGTGCGCGCTGCTGGCCTGGCGGCGCCCCTCAGCAAACGGCTTTCTTTACCGCCTCCCCTGCAGGAGTATGAGCGAACGTATGGGGCGCTACCAGCCCCCAAACACGCCACCTTGGGCAGCGGCAGCCTGGGCCGGGACAGCCAGGTGCGCATGAGTGCGACGCGTCGCTGCAGCGCACCATGCACCCGGCGCAGCAGCCAACCTTACACGACTCCGTCGCATGCGAATTTGCTGGGCTCGCCCCAAAATCTATTGCGCACGTTTTTGCCTGCTGCGCTGCGCCTCCCTTGCAGCTGCTGATGGACAGTCTGTGGGCGTCTCAGGCGGCCCCCGGCGGCGCCTTCACCACGTTTGCGGCCGCGCCCGAGCGGCCGTCGGCATCTGCCGCCGCGGGGCGCCAAGCGCCGCCGGCGCGCCCCAGCTGGTCAATGCCCTGGCAGACAGCGGACAGGCGGGCTGGCGCCGCGGTGGCTAGGGCCGTGCGGAGCGCACGCACGCCTGGCGGCGCCTTTGCAAACTTCGGCCTGCCCAAGGCGCCCAAGTGACGGCGCCCTGACAGCCCCTGCACTGGCCAATGATGGAAGGTCCCCGAGTGCTGCCGTCAATGCAATCAGGGTTCCATAATCCTTATCAACCGACAGGGCCACGCGTTGTCTGAGGGCACTGTCTCGGCTTTCCTGTACTCTACTGTTCTGGCTTCTCTTTGTGTGTCGACGCTTGTTACCTCCTCTCACCCCTAGCGACAGCTAGACGTGGGAGCGAGACCAAGACGAAGGGTGCCTGAGCGCGCGCATCGCGGCTGGTATGCAGTCGCGTCTCAGCCAGCAGGCCTTGCGCATAAGCGCGGACTTCCAGTGCGGCAGACGAGCGGACGCGCTTATGCAGCGCGTGCCCTTTGCATGCTGGGGCATGCTTCGCGCCCAAATGCGGTGCGGAAAAGCGCAGCGGGAAAAAAAGATCAGGTGCACTATCAACCCTGACGCCCTTCGCGGCCTTTGGCGAAGCGTACTCACGGCGATGGGGCGCTGAGCGCGGGACGCGAACTGGGGTTTGAATGATGGCGGTCGGCGCGCTCCGCTCTGCGCAACAGCTGAGAGCCTCTCACAGTCGGCTTTGCGAGGAGGAGGCAGGGACGCAGCGTGTCAAACAGGCCGTTGGTCTGCAGCGACGCATGGTGGGCGCCGGAGCTGACCGCGCGAGGCGCGCGCGTCACGGAAAGCGGGGGTGGGGGGTTGAGTTGGTACACACACACGCGTGCGAGGGAGCGCAGGACGTAGCCATGGATCAGGTCCACACGTCGGCCGCGACTCGTGCTGCTGGATGGCCGCGTTGACACCGGGTGCTGCTGGATGGCCGCGTTGACACCGGGTAGCTCGCTGCTCCCAACTGCATGTGCGGACAGCCTGCTCGTGCAAGCCCAGCCCCCGCACTGCCGGTGAAGCGGCGCAGTGGCCGGCGGGCCGGCGACGCGCCCCCGCCACGACGGGCGCTATGTCGCAAGGCTCGTCAGGACGCAGCTGATTTGGGGCACCGGTGATGGGTGACAGCTTGGCCTCAGCAGAAGCCGCACCCATGAGCAATGCCTTGGTGAGGCGGGGCGCCGCTTTGATTGGCGGCGGCGGCGGCGCAAGAAGGCTGCGGCTTGGCGTTGTGGCAAGGCTGATGCAGTGCACGCGAGAGGGGTGCGCAGCAGAAT